AGGGTTAGGGTTAGGGTTAGGGTTAGGGTTAGGGTTAGGGTTAGGGTTAGGGTTAGGGTTAGGGTTAGCGTTAGGTTAAGGGTTAGGTTTAGGGTTAGGTTTAGGGGGGTTAGGTTTAGGGGTTAATTTTAGCTTTAGCGCTCACAGCGTGCTTTTTTCATCGCGCTGTGACGACGTCAGGTACGCGGTTTCGTCGAGCGCGCTTTAGTCGAACGCGGTTTTGTGGTGGAACCAATTGTCAGCTCTTGAGAAAGTATCCCTGCCTCTCTGTGTTGCAAACAGCTATTTCCAGTGTGGGGAAACAGGACAAGGAAAGAGGGGAAGAGAGCAAGGGAGGAAAATAGAAGAAAAAGGGAAGGGAGGGAGGGTATATTGAGAGAGAGAGAGTGAGGGTAAATCTTGCTTTAGCACTTGGCTACCAGCAACCCTGCTGCCATTTGCCATCCCCTTGTCCCCTTCCTAACCTCGCCTGGTGGCCTCCCATCCTATCACTGAGGATGCTTTGGTTACAAAGCCCGATCTCCTAAGGAGATAAGAGTGGGCCTCTCTCTGACCCACACACATTCCCCTCCCACACACACCATGAGAAATCTGGCCAATAAGAGTGAGCACAGCAGCAGTGGGAGCTGCACACGCCCTGAAGTCAATCATAATCCTGATAGATAAAGCATTAAGTACATAAGAGGAATTCTGTCATCCAAAAGTCACATCCTTGCCGGAACCATGAAAAGTGTATCCCTTAGTTAAGATTTAGGGGGAAACTGATGGTTTGCAGCAAGTCTACGGTCCCTGTGCTCCAACGTGATATTGAGAAAAGTTGCAATAACAACAATTTCTCAGTTTCCCAACAGCCTAAGGGACAAAAAAGTTCAGTGGGGATATTTAAGATCGGAGTTCCATAAGTGCAAATGAACAAAATGAATTAACTCCATTACTGAGAAAAGCATAAGGAAGCAAGTTTCCATGCAAAACCAAATGCTAGGACCGGAAGACAAGGCGAGTTCCTTGTCTGTTTGAATACAAACTTATTGCTATGAAACTTCAGAATCTATTCAGGAAACAGGTGCATCCCAAGCTCTTAAATCTAGAAACAAAGTAGGCATAAGCATGATTAAAAGAGAACTACCGTATTTTTCTGAATATGAGACGCTCCAAAGTATAAGACACACCTAGCTTTTGGGGAGGAAAACAAGGGGAGGGGGGGGAATCTGACTCACTGCCAGCAATTTGCCTCCTTGCAGCAAACAGCTTGTTTCAGTTTCAGAACTGAAACGGAAACAATCAGCAGTTTCAGGCTGCAGGGATTGCCATAGCCTATTGCTGCCTCCACGAACCCTATTTTTGGTCTCCGCATCCCGTTTTCAGCTACTGCGTGCTCCATTTTCCACCCGTTCCGGGCAGTGGGGATCAGAATGGGCAGAAAATGGGGCATGTGGAGGCTGAAAACGGGGTGCGCAGAGACCGAAAATGGGGCATGTGGAGGCGGCAATAGGCAATGGCAATCCCTGCAGCCTGAAACAGTTGATCTTCGGGAGGCTGATCCAACTGACAATCCGCTGCCTGTGCTAATCAGGCTGTGCTGAAGCTGAACAGGCTGTTCCTTGTTTGCTGCAATGAGGCAAACTGCTGGGAGGCAGAGGCCAAAAGGTGGGGGACCGGCGGGTCTACATTCTGTGGATAAGATGCACCCAAATTCCCCCCCCCCCTCTTTTGGAAGGGGAAAGTGCACCATACTCCGAAAAATACGACAGTCTGGTGTGATTTCAGGCTTGAAACCCGAAACTAGCTTTAGGCAAAAAACAACAACAACAACAACCTAGTCCTCTTTTAGGAACAAAGCCAGCTGGGTGACTCTGGGTTAGTCCTCCCTCTCTCTCAACCCTAGGAAGGAGACCACGGCAAACCTCTTCTGATAATGTGGCCAGGAAACCAGCACGAACTTAACCAGATAGTCACCGGGGTTGGTTTGTTTGTGTGTGTGTGTGTGTGTGTGTGTGTGTGTGTGTGTGTGTGTGTGTGAAGACTGACCTGAAGGTAACCACCCGCTATAAAAAGTTGTCTAGATGTGCATAACGAAAAATTCCACCTGCTCTGTGTAGGAAAGAGGGGAACAAACAACTTGCTCGGTATCAACAAACCCTGATTGTTGTGCAGTTAGGAATGGAGTTGAGCACTAGCAGGGTCACCGATAAATCCCATTTCACTATGAAAGGCCCGTCATGCTAAATAGAGAACAGAATAGAAAGATGGGGATGTGCTGAGTACCTCTGGCACGTGTACATGGATGTGGGAGGTCACCAAGAAGTCATTGGTGGGCACCTTCTCCATCAGAAAAGACCGGGCAAACGTGTATGCAATCTTGACACTCTCCTTCATGACGTCTCCCAGTTGACCTGTCATTTCGAGAGTCCCATCTTTGCTTTCCTTCTCTCTGGGACGCCGGAGGGAGGTCTCTATGAACAAGGTTGAGCCGCCTGGGGAGAAAAGCCAAACCAAGCGTGAAATCCATTCTGGATTCAACTCTACCACCTAGTAAGCAAACTGTTCTTGGGTATAATCCAATTCACTAGCTTCATCTTTTGTCTTGCAACCAAAGCGAATGAAAACTTGATTTGTAATGTGGCCCCGTTCGGGCATGATCTAACAAATCAAAACTAAGACACTAGAAAGAAGCAACAAATGGGTAATGTTTGGGAAAGGGTGGTGGCCATCTTCCAGGATGTTCTGCAAACAGGCCTTCTTCTAGCTTCATGACTTTGGAGACAGGCTGTAGAATAAGTTTACCATATGAAAGTACCAGGAATCTATACAGGTACCGTGTTTCTCCAAAAATTTGACCCACTTTGAAAAGAAGCCCTATCACATTTTGGGGCGCAGGCGATCAAATTAAGCCCCACAAAATTGGCCCTAATTAAGACCCCGCCCACCCCGGGGTGGGGCGAGGCACACAGGTAAAAAAAATAAGCTAGGGTGGGGATGGGAGGGTGAAGCTGTCCTACTTACCAGGACTTGCACATCCCGACACCTGCCTCGCCTTTTTTTGAGGCCTCTTGCCGCCACTCGCATGCATCGCCCCAGCCTCCATTTTGTTTTTAGATGCCGGCCGGAAGGCATCTGCGGCCAATAGCAGAGCTGAATCCGGACTCTGTTATCAGCTGCATATGCCTTCCAGGAGGCATCTGAAGGCGAAACGGAAGCCGGNGCCCTGTTCCCAGCATTAGGCTCTTCTCCAGTCAGTCCTTCCTTCTCATTAGGTGGCCAAAGTATTTTGAGTTTCATCTTCAGGATCCAAAGAGCAGTCAGGGTTGATCTCCTCTAGGACTGACCAGTTTGATCGCCTTGCAGTTCAAGGGACTCTCAGGCACCAGCTTAGGGAAGGCTTTAAAGACATGCTTCTATGTCTGTGCATGATAAAAGTAGGAGGCCCCCATGTGGGAACATCTCTTTCTAATAACCAGGGCCACCTCCTTATAGAAATCTCTTGCACTATTTTTTTTCCTCTCCCAACAGCGGCTGACCAAACATACCAAATTTGTACGGGACATGATCCGAGAAGTGTGTGGTTTTGCGCCGTATGAGAGACGAGCAATGGAGTTGCTCAAAGTCTCCAAAGACAAGAGAGCTCTGAAGTTCATAAAGAAAAGGGTGAGTGTTGCGCAGAGCCCGGTGGTGGGTCTTAGGGTGTCTGTCAGGTTGTCCATCGAAGGCAGAATCATTGGAGGAAGGTGTTCCCTTTGTGCTGTGGGGGGGGTTGTGTTCCTGCCCTCTTTCATTCATTGCCACAGTGAATAAAGCACCTGGAAGGAGAGGTCACACCACCCAGTTCCAGTTGCGAAAAGGAGCCCATTTCCCCCTGTGTAGTTAAGATTAGCCTGGCCGGTCTCAGTGCTGTAAAGCGAAGCAGCATGAAGCCCTATTGTCCCTTGGATGACAGGCCTCTAAAAATTGCCAAGCGGCCTGTTGGGCAAAGAATCCCAGAATTGGACATTGTCAACTTGCTTGTATTGCTCTCGAGAAAATTGCATGGATGTGCCCATTTACGTCATGGGGAGTTGAGCTTAATTCAAGAGCTCCTTTCCTTGATCCAGAAATAACTAAGATCTGACAGCTGTTGTAAAAGTGGCTGGGAGGCTATCCAAAAAAGCTAGGATAATTAAGCCATCTGGCACTAGTGAAGACCAGCCATGTTCCAGTTCAGGCCTAGCGTCTCTTAAGGCCTGGCCTTTTGTTAACTCCAGAATGTTTCCCTTATCCTGGAAGAAGCAGGGGAAGAGGATCAGGCTGGATCCCTGACATAATGGCCAAAATGATTTTTTCCCCTTCTAATCAACATATTCTCCAGACAGTTTCCATCACATGTCTGGTTTTTCTGCCAAGTTCCTAGCTCCAGATGCCATCACATTTTGCTCTTTTCTCCCCACAGGTAGGGACTCACATTCGTGCCAAGAGGAAGCGTGAAGAACTCAGCAATGTCCTGGCAGCAATGAGGAAAGCCGCAGCCAAGAAGGACTGAATTCTGCATCCTGGTTCCAAATAAAGCTTATTTCAGAAGCCCAGCAGAGTGTGGAATATTCTTTGGATTAGGAGGTTATAAATTCAGAGGTGAAAAGCTCACCTTGGGGGTAGTTTAGGTCATAATCACCACCCTGAAATTTACAGGGTGATGGAAGGGCTGTTTATGCAACATTAAACCATGCAGATTAACTTTTATAACTTGTGTCTCTAAAGGATACATTTAGACACAATGAAGTTTTATTTATTTGAGCTTTAATATGTCATATGAATGCAATTGCTATATCTTTTTACTTTATGTATAATTTAGCATATTGTGCCAAATTCAAATACAGTAACAGATACTGTATTTTTCGGAGTGTAAGACACATTTCCTCCTCCCCTCCCCCCAAAGTGGGTGAAAATTTGGGTGTGTCTTATAGACCGAATATGGGTGTTTCTTGCCTCCTGAGCCCTGTGTGTGTTGCGTTTTCACCCCCCAACCCCCAGAAGCACTCTGCAGGCCCGTTTTTGGGCTCCCAAGCCTTCTGCATGTCGTGTTTTTGCCCTCCCTGGCCTTGAGAAACACTCTGCAGGCCAAAAAGAGGCTGTGGGAGGCACTGCAGAGTGCTTCTGGGGGGCTGAGAGGATGAAAATCTATTGCAGAGGACAAAAACATTTTTTTCTTGTTTTCTTCCTATAAATTTAGATCCGTCCTATAGTCTGAAAAATACAGTAATTCAGGTGACATCTTCCAGATGGGCAGCATTACCAACTTGCTGGAGGGAGGGGTATCCTATTAAAAGATTGGTTGATTTTGTTTTTGTGCCATGGAGAATGGTTAACTTTTGTTACACTGACATCTGTGAACAGGATAAAAGTTTTCCCAACCCGTGCTTTGGCCCTCATCACTGGTTGTGCTGTCCAGAGGTGATCTAAATATGCCTCCACTTTTATTTCATAAAGTGCTAGTAGAAAGTACCAAGAGACAACGGGATCTGGATTTTATAAGTTCTAATAAGAAAATACATTTGAGAAAGATGAGTAGACTTCCTCACAGATCTTCAGTCTAGTCCTGTAGTAGCCCTGGGTCACAGGGAACATTTTAATTGGTTCATAATTCAAATTTGTTGGAGTAGAATATATTAGAGCGACTAAAGGAATAGGAAACCGGCCATTATGGGCAGCTGGCCACCGCAGGAGTCCGATCCTTCCCCCTCAACTGAGCCTGCACATCTTGCTTCCAGAGTAGAGCGGGTGGGAAGGCGAGAAAGAACCGTTCACCTTCCTGGAGAATCAGACTTGGAGAAAACAATGTCAAAGATTTCCTTATAATGTTCAACAAAATGTACTTCCAGTCCTTCTGTGATAAATTCAGCTAGATCACAGTAATCCTTTTTGTTCTCTATTGGGAGAACGATACAGGAGACTCCAGCTCTCTTGGCCTAGGGGGGAAAAGGGAGGAAATGTTGAACAAGCTCTTCCCCATGACCTCAGGTTTCTGCCCTCCCCTGGTCGGGACCTGTGCTGTTCTCTTAACCCTGAGACCAGATAATAAAATATATTATTAAGGAGAAGATATTCCAGGCTATGAAAGTTACCTGGAAACAGCAAACACTTCTTTATTGCAATCTATAATTCCTTAAGTTATTTTGGTAGCTCAACTGTCAAATTGTACCCTATTGTTCATGATAAAAGGAAAAAAGTACTGAATAGCTCATAACTAGCAGCCACCATCAGATGGATCACGGATGATCAAGAATTTATTACATAACCCCTGAATGATCCAATTCTCCAGTGCTCTATCCTTCCTTGGGCCTTGGATTGTAGGTCACGCTCATAAAAATGGAGTGTTTTTAACAAGTAAAATCCAAGTGAGCCAATTCAGTCCTTACGAATCAACTCTAAAAAGTGTATTCAAGAATTCTTAAGCAACTTGCCAAATGGTATTAAATGATTGAGTTAATGTTCTAAAAGTACACAGTAAAAATCCTTGCTGGATCAGATAAGGGCTCTGGCAATCTCATCCACCAGCAAATACACAGCAACCAACTAGAAATCTGATACCTTCCTAAGCAAGGGTCCTAATCTTAAAGGTAAAGGTTCCCCTTGCACATATCTGCTAGTCATTCCTGACTAGGGGGCGGTGCTTATCTCTTTCAAAGAGCCAGCACTGTCCAAAGATGTCTCTATGGTCATGTGGCCGGCATGAATAAACACCGAAGGTGTGCAGAATGCTGTTACCTTCCCACAAAAGGTGGTCCCTATTTTTCTACTTGCATTTTTACATGCTTTCGAACTGCTAGGTTGGCAGAAGCTGGGACAAGTCATGGGAGCTCACTCCGTTATGCGGCACTAGGGATTTGAACCGCCAAACTGCCGACCATTCTGATCGACAAGCTCAGCATCTTGGCTCCTGAGCCACCTTATCCTAATCTTGCTCTGATCAAAATCTCTGGCAACAGAAGACCACCCATAATGGGAAGAAGGATGTAACGGATGGAAGAATAGAATAGAATAACAGAGTTGGAAGGGACCTTGGAGGTCTTCTAGTCCAATCCCCTGCCTAGGCAAGAAACCCTATACCATTTTAGACAAATGGCTATCCAACATCTTGAAAACTTCCAGTGTTGGAGCATTCACAACTTCTGGAGGAGAGCTGTTCCACTGATTAATTGTTCTAACTGTCAGGAAATTTCTCCTCAGTTCTAAGTTGCTTCTCTCCTTGATTAGTTTCCACCCACTGCTTCTTGTTCTATCCTGAGGTTCCTTGGAGAATAATTTGACTCCCTCTTCTTTGGGGCAACCCCAGAGATATCGGAACACTGCTATCATGTCTCCCCTAGTCCTTCGTTCTATACCCAGTTCCTGCAACCGTTCTTCATATGTTTTAGTCTCCAGTCCCCTAATCATCTTTGTTGCTCTTCTCTACACTCTTTCTAGAGTCTCCACATCTTTTCTACATCGTGGCGACGTAGAAGCAAAGATTTGAAGAGATTTGCTCTTCTCCCATTTTATAGACTTAACTGTTGCTTGGAAACCTGAATGCCACATTACCCACTTGGATTGAGTGTAGGAATAGAGGCTGTCTGTAAACTTTAGAAATAGGGAAGCCATCACGTTTTCTGGAACCAACTGCTAGCAACCAAAGGACTGGGCAGTTTCCACTTACCGCAATGGTCTTCTCCTTGATGCCTCCCACAGGGAGAATCTTCCCAGTCAACGACACTTCCCCAGTCATGGCTACATTTTGCCTCACAGGCTGGTTTAATGCCAACGACAATAAGGCAGTTACAATTGTGCAGCCAGCACTGGGCCCGTCTTTCGGGGTGGCACCCTGGGAATGGAAAGAAACAGACAACTTGTTTGTAGACTTGAGCACAACAATCAACTTTTTAACAGATATGCGGACTCCAAAGGTGAACCACAACAGGCACACAGCTGCCCCAAATTCAACACAGTATTAACTAGTTTCTGGAATTTAAAGTCTAACTGGGGGATAGCAAGGAAGGAACAATTTGCTGAGGTGCACTTGGGAAACTGAATTGGTTTATCTTGCATTGCAACTGCTTTTGGTGTGGTTTCATAGATAAGTGAAAGCAGCACAAATGTTGTCCCCAAAACTGGGCTCTTGGTTGGTGTTGAAGCCGATAAAAGTCGCCGGATACAAGGTGTGATACAGAATTATACTTTTATTTTGATACCAAGATATAAGGACCCTGGCTCGAAAGCTAACCAAGAAGCCCTAATTAGAATCTTACAGCAATTTTTATAGTCAAGGAGTGATTACATTAAACCCTTTGCCCTTCCCCTAATAATGCATGCATAACGGATAATATTGATTGGTTATTTGGATTTCATCCCCCTAAACCCTTACGCTTGTTATGCTAAATAGCTAAATGTCGTGTCACCTGTTTTTCACCCCAGGTCATGGGTATCTCACAAAGTATGCCAGCTATGTAGTTTGGGGGGGGGGGGGTCTCTTATAAGCGAGCTATTTTTGTGTCTAATATCCTGGCTAGTGGTTTTCTAATAGGTAAGGTGCTATTGTAGAGCAGCTCAAGGCAGTATCCCCCCCTTCAACCTCCCTCTTTCCGCAGAGAAAAGTCTGAAGTCTTTGTCTGAGGCAACACCCCCGCGACCCCCACCTCCTTCTGCAGTGAGAGAGGACAGGAAGGAGCAAAGCTCTTAATTGTCAAGGCAAAGAAATGACAAGACAAGAGAAAGTGTTTTATCAGAATTCATATTCCTCATTCTCTTGTCCATTCCATCCATACCTGGGTCCTATCTCCACATAGGACCTTCCTCTGATCCCCAGGGCCTCATCTGTACGTACATTCCATCACCTGATCCTTCACAAATGCCAATTCTTTCCTCAACAGTATAAAGATTATATTCTTGATAAACCTCACCCCTTACCTATGTAGTTATCTTTACAGAGTAATTAATTCAGATAAAAGATCTATGGACATCATACATTAAAGAAATCCAATCAAATAAAACAACAAAAAAAGGGCTTATCTCCAAACTTCAACTGCAGTTTAGCAAATGTCTGAACTACCTTTAGATGTTTCAATCTATCCTCCCTGACTCTACAATTTTATACCCTAATACTGCTCCAACTTCTAATTTATTTTTCTCAGTTGTAACTTCATTCCTGAGCTTGTTTCCCCAATATTTTTTAACTTTGCCCGCTCTGATTTTTCTATCCTATTGTTTCTTTGTACTTTTCCTCATCCTGAAAGTGTTTTTAACCTGATTATCAGATTAGTGTGTGTTCAAAAGTGAACTATTAATCTGCACCACAAAAGTTTTTTTTGTGTTCCAGGTTAATAATTATTAGCAATGTGTTTATAAAGTTCTTCTGACAGAAATCCGCATTCTTTTTGCACATTTTCATAAAGAACTGATCCACGGACCAAATTAAATTGGTTAAGCCCTTAAAAGCACCATAAAGCAACAGAACGGCAATACCTTCTATTATTTTATTTATTATCCTGTTTTCTGTTCTGTTTTCCACTGGTTCTCAAGACTATTTCTCCCAAAGTTATTTATTATTCATTGGGCGAGTGATGGAGGGGGGGGGGGTAGAGCAATCTGGGAGGAATGGATGATTATAGAAAGTAAATAAATGTCACTTTTGTTCAGAATAGCTATGCATTCTGTCATCAAATCAAAACTTGAAGAGAGAGCAGGCAAAGATTCTTATTACAACTAAGTATTTTGGAAGAGACTAGTGAAAGCACATGAAACCTTGCAGTAAAGGAAAAACTCCTGCGACCTCTACTGGTAGGCAGATGAATAACAGCTATCATGGGGAAAAATGGGAGGGCTTATGCAGATTTCAAACCAATCACAGTCAGAATACTCATAGGCTTTCCCAAAATGCATATAGGTGAATTTTTTTTTCAAAATTTCTGTCATTATGTTTTATAACAGATGGCTATTTTCTTTGACAATGAAGGTAAGAATATTCACAGAATAAGTCCGATAAGATTACAAACAATATCTACTATAAAAGGGGCGAAATGCTCAGCAGCTTGAATTTGCTCACCGTTACCACAATGTTGCTTGGAAAAAATGGGCTTTTGCCTTGGCCCTCATTGGTTTATCGCTTCTCGGCCTTTTGGCTAAGATCAAGTGTAGTATCTGTTCTTATCAGTTTAATATCTGATATGTTCTCTATTTGAGAACTAAATATTAAATGGATTTTTGGAACTGGGAGATGGACTAAGGGCTTGCTCTATCCACTCCAAGCATCAACCTGGTATTGCAGTACTTTCAGGAATGGTGCACCTCCCCTTGGGGGAGGAATATAAGTGTTCAAAAAATAGAATGGAAGTGCTTGTTTAGGGGGTTGTCATGTGTCCTCAAATGTGCCCCCTGCTGCCACCTGGGTGTGCTGGTTGGTTGGGGAAGGAGGCGGTCACCCAATGCTTCGTACTGCCTCACTGCTCTGCTAGGCTCCTGCCAACCCTGACTGAAGAAGAGGATGGGTGCCTGAATCTGCAAATTATAGGAGCTTTCTCTCTCCCTCCCTCAAAGCAAAGCCAAAGAAGCAGAGAAACAAAGAGAGGAGACCAGCTGTTTGCAAGGTAAGTGAGTCTTATATAAGGCCAGGAGGGAGAAGCATGAGGTATGTTAAGTTGGGGAGGCCTCATGGGCCTGTTCTATCACTAGGCTACCCCTTGGCCTTCCCCATCCTGAGATACCTCATGGGCCCTTTGGTATTCTAGAATTGTGAGCGTGGCACGACAAAACTGCGGTCCACTAAAGCGCGCCCGATTAAACCGCGTCGCTGACGTCATCAGCAGCGCGACAACAGCG